TGCTGCTTCTCTGTAGCCCAGGTCAGGCACTTCTGCCACTGTTTCTGGTTCAAAAGTGGCTTGACCTGGGGAATGCGGCACCTGTAGCCCATTTCCTGCACATGCCTGTGCACGGTGGCTCTGGATGTTTCTACTCCAGACTCAGTCTACTGCTTCCGCAGGTCCCCCAAGGTCTGGAATCGGCCCTTCTCCACAATCTTCCTCAGGGTCCGGTCACCTCTTCTCGTTGTGCAGCGTTTTCTGCCACACTTTTCCCTTCCCACAGACTTCCCACTGAGGTGCCTTGATACAGCACTCTGGGAACAGCCTATTCGTTCAGCAATTTCTTTCTGTGTCTTACCCTCTTGCTTGAGGGTGTCAATGATGGCCTTCTGGACAGCAGTCAGGTCGGCAGTCTTACCCATGATTGCGGTTTTGAGTAATGAACAAGGCTGGGAGTTTTTAAAAGCCTCAGGAATCTTTTGCAGGTGTTTAGAGTTACGTCGTTGATTCAGATGGTTAGGTTAATAGCTTGTTTAGAGAACCGTTTTCATGATATGCTAATTTTTTGGGACAGGCATTTTGAGTTTTCATGAGCTGTATGCCATAATCATCAGTATTAAAACAATTAAAGACCTGAAATATTTCAGTTGGTATGCAATGAATCTGAAATATATGAAAGTTTCATTTTTATCATTACATTATGGAAACTAATGACCTTTATCACAATATGCTAATTTTTTGAGAAGGACCTGTACATATCAACTCATATCCCATCAATCTTACACTGTCATTGTTCCTCTTAAGCATTTAATCAAAATGTTCTAAGATCATCTTGCCCTCGTTGTAATCTGCCTAATCAAGATGTCTTTTTGAGAAGACTCTTCGCTTTCAACAGAAACCGTCCTGCCAACGCTTATCTTGTGATCCCAAATTGTTGAATTGGAATTGCTGTTCTTTTTTCACTCTTACTAATAAAAGGCTGGCTCAAACAACGAGGCTTCGGAGTTCACTCTGATTCACGTTAGAAGGTGGTCATTGTGGAGTTCCCTCTTTGCAAAGGGCTTGGTCAAAAATCTTACTCTATGTCAGTGCTTCTCAATTATTTTCTCTTATGCGCCACCCCCCACCCCCACCCCCAGGAAGAAGAAAACTTTTTGCGCCTCCCCCGCCCAGTCTCCGCGACGACTGTAAATAGTATGTCTATAAAATATAAAATTGTTATAAGTACACCTCTACCTAACATTGTGTCCTTATTAACATTAAAGGAAAAAAAGAACATAGATCAACTTACAAGGAAGAATTAGCATTGTTCTTTTAGTCTGTATCAATTTGCCTTTAAAAAAAAATCAATTCTTTTTTTAAACGGTAAACATTGTGTACCATTTGATACTGAAAAATAAAATTAAATATAATCAATAAATAATAATAAATTCAAATTGATCAGCAACATTTTAATTCAGGAGTGTTATATAAAACACTTTGACCTACAAAACAAAAATGAATAAAACAATTTATGCTGATTTTTTAATAATCAAAATGAGGAAGTCAGGATCAATGAGCACATTCATTGATAAAACAAACAAAAAAAATTGTCAACGCGAAAGAGGAAAGAGGAGCAGGTAACCCTCTTGCTTTGAGTTACTCTTTGTCGCCTGCATGCTGTGAGTGACAAACGTCCAGAGCATTAAAAACAGCAGCTTAACTGAGAAGGTGAATTTATTTTGTTAGCAAAGAATAGAGTCCTAACATTTATTAAACATCACTTCTGTAAAATGTGCTTTAACAAACTCATTGATAAAACTAAAACATTTAGTCAACGTAAAAGAGGAAAAAGGGGGCAGGTGTCGCTCTCGCTTGAGTTTACTCTTTGTTGCATGCACGCTGTGAGTGACGTCCAGAGCGCGTGGACATAAAAACAGCAGCAGTGGACGGAGGAGGTGACGGTCTGAGTTTTTTTTATCATGTCAGCAGCAGAGGAGAGAGACATGGTTCATGCATGACTCCCAAAATGACAAGGCAGCCATATTTGTTCATGACTTATTAGGAACGCACGCGACAAAGTGAGAATGGTGAAAAAAAAAAAAAACTACTCCCTGTGGCAAAAAAAGCATGTTTTCTAGGGTTACATGCACCCCCCTGGCATTGCCCCGGGCCCCCCAGGGGGGCGCGCCCCACTATTTGAGAAGGATTGCTCTATGTCTTTGTGGTCCTTTATTGTAAAGGACCACAAAGAAGATAAATAACTTACGCTCATGGGAAGCTGAGGAAGTAAGTCCTCTTCGGAGGCAGAAACTAAAGACGTGAGGTTCATAAATCAGAAACATCCTGATTCGACCAAATATTTAGAAAGAAAAAAAATATATATATATATACACAGTATACAAAATTGACCCTACACTAAAACCAGACACCAGGAAAATGATGATAACAATAGTACAACACAAAGCAGCAATGAAAAAAGGAAGGAAGAAAGAAAAATTAAAAAATCAATTAAAATGTGCTAAATTATGACAAACAGGGACCCACTTAAGAAGAGAACAGATTAATAAAGCTAAAGCAGAGCGAAAAACTAAACAAGAAACAAAAAATAAACAAGAAACAAAAACTGCTGCTTTGTTTGTCAGACCAGAAGATAATGAGACCATGACTGTAGCACAACGTCCTGCTATAATCCATAATCCTGATAACGCTGCAGGTGCCGCAAGTAGAGCCCCCTCCACCCAGACATATGCCTGCTCTATACCCCACATTAAATGAAGCAATTTTAAAAGTTGAAAGAAGACACAAAACCTGTAGGTGTTGTTACTCGCCAGAAACATAAATACATAACATCTGAAAAAGACATAAAGAAAAAGCAACCCTCCCATTCAGCAGACACGTATCCTATGATACAGGTTCCAAACCCTAATGTGGAAGATGGAAACAACAGATTTGTATTTGTTTCTAAACCATGGACATTAGTAGTTGAAGGAGTAGTGAATGTTTGTGAGGAATATATTATATATGAATGTTATAGTATTATATGATAAATAAGATTGACATATCTAATAATGTATGATTATTTTATTACTGACCTTGTGGTGCCCACTAAAAATAGTAATAGCGCTAATATTTTGTGTCTTTCATCTGTACAATAAGAGTTTGCAGGTCGTCATGATTTAACCTTGCATTATTAGATTGGATCATGTGTGCATAAGTAATCTTCCATGGTACATTTTTATCTGTGTAAATTCTAGCAATTTTTGATTACTTCAGTGGGACACATAAGATGCAAACACATCCTGGCGCTAGTTTAAGACTGATAACTGTTCCATCTTGCCGTTACAAAAGCTGCTTACTTGTGTTTCTGATTTTATAATGTTTTTCTTCAATTTTATTTGTGTTTTATTGTTGACATACATGTGCAGTGACCAGAACTGTGAAGTTTAGTTGACTTTCTTTTGGACACATTGGTTCAGGTGGTTCACCTGAGGTAGAATGCTGACGTGTTCATTTTTATTAAATAAAATTGCAAGGTCTGTTGTGAGTGATGACAGCGCTCATCTAGACTCAAGTAAGGAAAGGAGATTTTCTGTGAGAGTGGTGTTTCTCTAGTAATTTCAATTATAAATCATAATTAAAATGCTGGAAGTGCCATAACGACCTTAGAATTTCTATTAATATGAGGGACAGTTGCCTGTTTTTTTGTCAATTTCCTTTTGGGCAACACCACAAAGAGGGTCAGTTGTGAGTAGTCAGTAGCTGTGTTCCGACGGCAGTCTGCTATGTCTGAAAGAGCCGACAGGCTGACACGTACACACAACAGGAGAGACGAACACACACACACGCACACACACACACACACACACATGCGCGCGCACGTCGTGCTGCGCTATAACATACTAAATGTCCCACACAATAATAGTTTAATAATAATAAACAGTATTTATGTTAAGTGTGAGAGATATAATGAGGCAAGCTTTGAGCTAAATGAAGCTATCTGGAAATTATGTAATCCAAATTTAGAATGATGATAAACATTGTGTAGGGGAACACCACCTCCACTTAAACAGATATCATTCATGTTTGTGTTTTAAACTGTTAAAATAAGATGCATTTATTCCCTTGGGAATGAACAGACTTTATTTTAAAGGTGTTAAACTCAGCTTACAAACTCCTTAGTTGACACTAATCTAATGTAATGAAAAACTGTCATTGTGTTAACTTCACTGCCAATATGACCTCATTTCCCACGAAACGGACAGATCGTTTTAATGGGAGTTTGCACTTCAACGACCTCGAGGTGGGACACCTGCCGAGGAGTTTACTCCCAGGATTTTCCCATGGAGATAACAGTTGTAAAAGAATCCTTTGTTTCAAAAAGGACATTTTCTTTTCAGGAGATGAACTGCGACAACTTTTGATGAACATTGCATGTTATTTCAAAATATGTCATATCTGAATGTTTATTTATGAAAATGTATGTTTTAAGTAATCTCTTTAAGATAATCATGTTTTATTTTTCTCCTTTTAAAAGAAGAGTGACTTTTTAATGGCAGACAAAGAAAATGGACTGTGATTTTATAAAACATGACAAAGAGTTAGGACCACCCCTTCTTATGAGGTGGACCAAAGTCAGTCTGTAACAAACAGACAGTTAAGTTTCACTTCTACACTTCTTCACTTATGCTTCTATACTAGTTCTCAGTTTCATCTCCACCACTGACTACACACTTCACCGCTCTTCCTACATGAAGGAACTTCAAGCAAAACTTCAAAGAAGAATCTTCCTCCTAGTGAGACGTCCGGGAAGAAAAATGACAACCAGAAGCAGAACCTGGCATTAACCTGAGATTTATTACCAGAGCCATTGAACAGCAGAGTGGGGAAATCCCAGCTGACTCCCATATGGACCTTCGTCCCTCCAAGATGACAGGTGAACTGTGAGGAAGACAGCCTCTCAGTTACCAGAACATCTGGACTGGTACCATTTTTAAGAAGCTGTGGGACCATTCTGACAGCTCGTTCTGGTGAGAGACCCTTCAATGCACTTTCTGGTGACCATATATTTACAATAACATTAATATAAGTTCACACCACAGTTTAGACAATTTTAACTTCACCCCAACAAACCAGTCCAAGATTCTGCCTTTTATAAAAAAGTTACACTGATTTTAATAATCGGATAACCTTTGATACAAGGTCATTTTGTTATTAATTTGTGTATTAATGTTTATGAATAAGCTTAATCAATTATATACATCAGAATATTATTTTTGTAATAAAATACATAAAATTCACTAAAAGTGTGATTATTTTGGCATATCTGTGTGTATTAACAGATTTAATGCCTCTAAACACGGGTAAAGAATTCACGTTTCAGTTACATTTAATTTGAGGGTTTTAGAGACTGATTTTCCTCTGAAAAGAGGTGGTGCCCAAGCAACGAGGTTATTTGCATAATAAATGCATATCTTATGAGCTTAACTCATAACTAATAAATTATATAGACACCCGTTCAACAAATCCCTTTACAATTGCATGTTACTAAGGTTGGAAATGAAAACATCAGGTTTATTTATTTTTTAATTTTTTTTTATTTTTTCTTTATTCAACACCACAAAATGTATATCACACAAACACTGATAATTAAATTGAACACACTATTAAAACAAATTAACTTAACTGTAAACTGCATTAATGAACTGGACTCGGCTCTGTTTTCATCCTGGAATCTGGTCTCACGTTGTCCATCTGACTTGTTCAGGCTGTCACTACTTTGATTAATGCAACTTAAAACATTAAATGTATTGAATAAAAGAACTGAGGGGAATTTTAAATAAATAGTTCATCCAACATATCTCTCTCCGACGTCCTCCTACACTGCACCTGAGCGAGCCTTGTTCAGAATCGGTCCGCCTAGGGGAGGACAGCTTCTCCTCGTAGGAAAAATAAAAATGAAAACTCAGTTGGTTGTTGTGTAATCGAAGTAAACGCAAGCAAACATTATTAAGAATGTTGATTTACCTGCTGTAAATCAGCTACTGATTATCACGGAGTAAAGTCCGACATCATTGACTCGATTCTGGTCCACTCAGCGACTGGTGTGGAGCTGTTAGATGAAGCGGTCCCGCTTGGCGTCAAATCTGTCGACTCTTATCCACAATCCAGCCAAAATCCAGCTTTAACTTGTTATTGTTATTAGCTGAGTGTTTAGCTTACAGGAAAGGAGCAGGCCGAGGCAACACGCATGCGCATTAGGTGAAGGTACAAAAATCACAGCGCCAACTAATGACCCGGCATGGTAACTACAGTGGATTCGGGAGGGCTGTGAGGGGAGATTCCTATGGATGCATGCAAACACAAAATCCGTCCGTGTCAACGCAGATCTTTTCCTCTAATTAACACACGAGTAAACCTACGTTTCCTTCCATCGTGTCCATGTTTTTTTATGCAATGACTGCAGAGCGTGGATCCCACATTATGCTGAATTGACCCAACCGTTGTTAGACATGATATACAACGTTCTTATGGCCATGACAGACAGAATAAATTGGACAGAAATTGCTCTGACAGCTTTTAGAAATTTGAAAATTAAACTGATGCAAACAACCACTCTAATTTTACTAGCACGTCATCTGTCCTACACAGCTATCTTGCTCTCAAAACCTCACATAAACATAAAACGTTGCACAACTCTGAATCCAGCAACCCTAATTCCATTACCAGATGATGGAACACCTTACAATTGCTTAGATGAAACTGAACATGTCCAACTCCCAAGACCAGACTTAACAGACAGTCCTTTGCCTGAAGGACTGCTTTGGTTTGTGGATGGCTCGTGTTCCAAGACAGACACAGGAAAAACACAAACAGGTTGCGCTATTTTACAGCTACCAGACAAAAGCATTGAAACACAACAATTACCTTTCCACCACTCTGCTCAGGCAGCTGAAATCATTGCTCTCACACGTGCATGTCAACTAGCTGAACGCCAAAAGCTCACAGTTCACAATGACAGCCAATATGCTTTTTCTGCACTGTCTTAATTTTTTATTATTATTATTATTATTATTTTATTTATTTATTTATTATAATTATTATTATTTATTTATTTTTGATGACCCATGGTCCTTGCCATGTGTCAACAGGCGGGATGGTATCTATCATACAGAAGCATTTTCTTACTTAAAAAAAAAAAAATTCTGTAAAGCTATGCTCATGGATTTTATTGAACTAACACAAAGTGGACCTTACAAATATTGTTTAGTCATGGTAGATGCTTTCTTAAAATGGGTTGAAATTGTCCCATCCAAACATGCAGATGCATTAACTGTAGCAAAAGCTATATGTAAATCCATTATTCCCACACATGGTGTCCCACAAACTATTTACAGTGACAATGGTCCACATTTTGTAAACCAGGTCATACACAATATGGCCTCACACTTAGGACTATCTTTAAAAAAAACATTGTGCCTACCACACACAAAGTGCAGGGTTGGTAGAAAGAACAAATGGTACAATAAAAAGCAGACTCAGAAAATGTATGGAGACTACAGGTCGATCTTGGCCAAGGTGCTTAGACCTAGTAAGACTCTACATGAGAATAACTCCAACATCAAATGGCTTGGCCCCTTTTGAAATCATCCATGGCAGACCATATCGCCTCTTCTCACCAGACCTAGAGAAGGCGGAAGAAGAGCAGACATTAACAGATTATATAATCAAAACACTTAAAGAAAAGGAAATGTTAGAGACAAATTTACTGCCTTCTGATTCCTCTCCTTCACAGGAAACAACGCATATCCAGCCTGGAGACTGGGTCTACATTAAGGCCATCAAAAGGAAAACTTGGGCCAGCACACATTGAGAAGAACCTTTCCAAGTCCTGCTGACCACACCAACCGCTGTAAAGATGGCTGAAAGACCCAGCTAGATACAACTCAACCACTGTACGTCGCAGAAAGTGCTGGATTCTTAGAAACGTTGGGTCAGTAGGGAAGTCTGGCGTACAAAGCGGGCTTCTTTATATAGGAGAAGTCGTCTCAAAACCAGTGAAGAAATCAATGATCTCTGCTCTGTTAAGAGTTTCTCTGAATCTGGTGTTTCTGTATATTGAGCAGAAATGGGGTCTCCACTCCTCAGATGGATCTTCTGCTGCATTGTGGTTGCAGCATGCTGTGTAACTTTGTGCATGGGCAAAAAAGCTCTCCCAAGAGGCAAAAGAGAGATGACACACCCACACGACTACAGCACCAATCTGTGGTGCACCTGATGAACAAAACCACACATGAAGGGAACAAAGTCAACTGCTATATGTGCGCCCACATGCCCTACGCCACTCACAACTCAGGCCTGAGACCAGGAAACATCACAATAGAGCAACAGAAGTGCCTGTATGGTCTGAGCACACACCCTGGCTACAACACCACATCACAACAAACCATCGGGTGGGAGCAGAGGAACTACTCCATACCCTTGCAAGTTGCAACAAAAACCCACAAGCCCATAACTGATCAAGACTGCAGACAAATGGCAGACCTCCTACCATTACCATAAATGACAATACAACTACCTGAACTAATTACCCTGGCCAGGGCGAGGTCCGGCTCCCTTGGCCACTGTGTATTCAACAACGGGACCACGACCATGAGCTCCGTCCTATGGAATCTGTGTGAAAAGGTACTCACTGTCTGTGACTACACACCCAACTTTTTAACATGTTTTTCTTGTGTGGCAAGCAAAAACAGCACCGGCGACTGTACCGCATACCAGGACCAGAAATGCAGACGCTATCTCCAATGCCACATATTCAACATCAGCTTACAAACAAAAGGACGTCAAAACACCACTGGCTGCAGCGCCACCATGCTAGGAGACAAAGGCTCCAGGACGTTGGCTGAATGGTACTTCCTGTGTGGCCACAGAGCCTACACTGCACTACCACCACACGGGGGGGGGCGCTTTGTGCTTTGGTCCCCCTATCTAGCCCCGTGATGTTCCTCAGAAAAGGCTCTATACCACTGACCAGGAAGAAACGTTCACCAATGCCCGAGGTGCACCGAAGGGGAGGCCTCACCACCAGCACTGGCGTCCCATGCGAATATAGGATCTGGAATGGAGGTGAAAAACTCTTTCAAGGCCTATTCCCATGGGTAGGAGTTGTAGAAGTTCAACAACATGTCGAGATCAACCGTTATGCCTTTTCGGCCTCATCAACGACACCTACAGACTGGCAAATAGAACAACAAAGGAATTGACTGCAATGAGAGACATGATCATCCAGAACCGCGTCATCTTGAACCTGCTCACCACCTCACAAGGAGGGGTATGTAAGATTATAGGAACCACATGCTGCACCTACATCCCATATGAAACTGGAACTGGTGGAGACATCCATGATGCTCTAAGTGACCTAGAACAACTGAAACGGTATGTGGACAGTGCAACATCAGGAACACAACTCTTTGACCTTCTTTCATGGCTTACTTCTGGACCCTGGTGGCACCTGTTACTGAACATCTGCACCCCCATCTTGACTGTGCTCATCCTCTTCGCCCTGTTCATACCCTGTGTTGTCTCATGTTTGCAGAACATGATTATGAAAACTTTCACTAGAGTGCTGGTAAACCTCCATCTGACTAAATTAACTGAAGATGACAACTATGTTCCACTTCAACAGGTGGATCCAGAGGACTATGCTCAACCTTAACAGTATGATGATGCCATTTAAAAATACATTTAAATAAAAGCTAACTATACATTAGCCTGTGATTCTTGTACTGACACTGTGGTAAGCAAAAGGTACAATGATGATGTCTGCTTCCGTATAAGTTGTGCTCTGTACACATTAAAGTTCTATTTCGTATAAGCTTCACCCTTTAAGGCTGTCGCTTGGTGGGTTTATCCCGTTATGCGGAGCATTGCACTGAAAAATTTAGTCCACGCCCACCTGCTGTGTGGGCCCTACCCGGTCCGTATAAATTATGTTAAGAGCGGGAAATCGGCTCCCATTTTTTTCTTCAGCGAGCTAATAGCACTGTCAGA